TTTGAAGGACCGACTCGATTTTTGGAATAGTAGTTAATATTCTATTGTGAAGCTTTGAGAACTTACAATAATGAACATACCAACGATTTTGTAAAAGTCCTATACACGAAAGATATGATATTACCTGTAATGACACATCGTTTGTTGCAGAATAATCGGAGAGTTTTTCAAGTATGCTGCACATCCATGGAAACGTAAAATTTTCCTGTACTGACAAATATTCTCTAAACTTTGACATATGCACTAAACCTTCGTTTTCAAGAAACCAAATAACATCTGTTGAGAACTGACTTGCTTTAGCTAACACAGAGTTTTCATTGCTATACCCTGTTATTCGTACAACTCCGTTGTTAGGCCAGTGCATTTTGCTATTGTTTGCTCTATCAGAAAACCGAACATCCGGAAAGTAATTGAGTTTAAAATGATTAAATCCAATCTCTAAAACATCTACAGGTTTCATTTGCAGCATTTCGATGAATTCAATAGCTCGCCAAAAAACAAATGGTGGTTTATAGATTTTCTTTCTACAAAGTCTTCCACACAAATTATGTACAGTTATTTGTCCGGCTAGAACAGCCCAACATGGAAGGTCCTGTGTTCTTAGATCCGATTTAAGTGAGCGATCACATTTGGGTATACGGCTAGGATCTGTCTGTAAATCGTGTATCAAAAGAATCACTGACCGAATACCAACAGCTATTATACCGCCATCCATCACACCGGAAAAATTTACAATTTTTTTAATGCTTTGCTTTTGGCATTCAGTTAAAGCCCAAAATGTGAGTGGTGGCAAGGAACATTCATCAAATGCGCAGGCTGTAGCATCATCGAGGCATAAAAAGCCTTGTTCCCAAGTCAAACAACGACTTGGAAAACAACCTCCTGGTCCTAAGTTTATTCCAAAATTATTATCTGCTGCACTGTTAGGTCGACCTTTAAATAATATTTCACATGCAAGCTCGTACTGGTAACATTTCCAAACGTTTAAAAATCCACCCATTTTACAATTTTTGGCATAAAGATCCCTTAGAGATTCTAATAAATATGTTCCTACCATGCGAATAGATTTTGTGAAGCTAAAGTCTTCCTTGTATAAGTCATTAATAATTGGAACAATGATTGGATACTTTGTTAACAGGACTGATAGTGCACTTTTTGATATATAGCTTTCAGCACATAGCACATTCTCTTTTTTGGTTTCACACACTATTTCAAGCCTTGCGTTTGATATTCCTAATTTTAGTATATTTTCCTGTATTGACGTTAAATAATCAGATGCTCTGTTTTCAAGAGCTTTTTGAATATTACCATGTAATACACCACACGAAGCGATACATCCAAAGACGGGATGGATAGAAGATGAACTCATATGTGGCAAATCGGCATACATTTGCAAAAACCGCAATGTCTCAGGGCATGTGCACAACTGTCTTAAATCTCTAGAAATGTCAATACTTCTGCCGTCTAAATTTGTCTGGAAATTACAACAGGAGCGGAAACTTAGTGACGAATATAAAGATCCACGATCACCAATTATGTCCTGTATACCGCTTCGTGACCAAAACAGGTTTTGGTTCAAAATTGGGGATGACAATGTTACGGCCGCATGTATCGTTGTTGATGCGTTTGCAGTATCATATTCCGTAATTTTCATAGCATTGCTATTTCTGTCCCCAAAACGGTGGGCTATGATGATGAATTCAAAATTTTCGTCACGAGGTAGAGAGTTTTCCGTTTGGCATAAGAGATTTAAGACAAATTCCCTGTCATCTGGTAGGACATGCCAGGTTCTTATATCAATTATCTTGTTTTTCTTGAATGTATTTCTTGTAATATCTTGTTCTGGCAAAGCTTTGCATTTATTTGCTAATGATGTCCTAAAAGATTCGTAAAATTCAAATTGCAAGTTTTCGATTTGTTGGCGGCTGTAATTCTTAAATAATCTCATTGGTCCGGGTTTTGGTAACAAAGTAATCAAAAACTGAAAACCGTGTTCGCCTACAATTTGTATTCCTTGGCTCCATCTTAAGTATTGTAAAGCTTTTTTATTTTATACTTCCAGTTTTAAGTGTTTTCGTAATATATTGAATACTGGCATCATACTGTTTCTTCCACGCGGTAGTATATTCAAATAAGAAAACGGAACAAGGATGTCTTTCAAAGAGGAAAAAGTTGCGACAATACCATCTAAATCATATTTTTGATTCAACCAAAGTCGTTGCGCACACGCTGTAATTTGACAATCACGTAGAGTAAGATTTGAGTCTCGTTTTAATATTTCGCTAGGGGAAAAGTTTGATCCTAAACACAGTTCATATACAGAATCGGCGTTTTCAAGTCCAGTTTGAATTAAAAGTCCATTCAAATTAGATTCCATCTTCCATTCACTAAAGAAAAGAACATGACATATAACATTATTGTTAGATGAAAGGTACACACAAAGTAGTTAGCAACAGTCAGTAACATTACTTAATGCATTTAAAGTGCCTAGTTTGGCTTTTTAATGATAACACATCGTCTAGACATACATTTGGTGTTCAACGTTTGCTTCTTTTTCTACAACTAATACTAACTGTTAAAGACTGGCATTGATTACTGCAAATGGCAAACACATATTTTCTTGTGACATTTTTATTTTAACTGATTAAAGTTTTTTGGGGGATTTTCTACATAAAAATATTAACTGACTAAAAGTTTTACAGAGCTGTTACTTATACATGTTGACGGTCAAATTATATTTGAAAACGATATGACAGGTAATTTTTTAAAATTTCCAAATGTCATTAATTTGTTTTTTTGTTTTTTTTTTAAAGGAAATTAAACAATTGTTAGTGTTTGAAATATAACAAATAATGTACCACAATATATCAAAGTTGAAATAATGTCAGGACTGAAAATATGTGTTCGTTATTTGTCTGAATCACATCACAATCTTAAAGGAAAATAACTGAACACATGTCACTTGTTTGTTTTATTTAATCAGGACATTAAGCGCAAAGCACTGTTTGAAAAATTTTCATCAAGCTAGTGTTCTTCTCGAATAATTTATACATTTAGTTAGCAGATGAATTTGCTCTATGCCTCCGAGGCCTATTTGTATTCTAAATCTTGAAATTTTCACCCTAATGTCAATTTTAGCTTAATTCATAATCTAAAGTAATAAGAAAGGATTAGACCATAAGTAGCTGAATTATACGATATCTCACAACAATTCATCAACATGTATCACATTTTTTTTTAAATAATGAACAATAGGCTAAATAATGTCCTAAATGAACATTTCTTAAAGTTGTAACTTATTCAAGGGGAGTAAATTTCATATTGAAGAATGTGGTTACAATTAGTTTGGACAAATTGCTATGAGTTTCTTTGTTTTTCTGTTTGTTTGTTTGTTTGTTTTGGTTTGTTTTTTTAGTTTGACCTGTCATGTAATGTTGACATTTTAATGTTTTATTTAACATTGCCATAAAAGCGGAAGGTTCGGCTAGCCACAAAACCAGGTTCAATCCACCTTTTTTTTTCTTTAAATAACCTGTACCAAGTCAGGAAAATGGTCATTGTTATATTGTGGTTCGTTTCTGTGTGTGTTACTTTTTAGTGTTGTGTTTCTGTTGTGTTGTAGTTCTCCTCTTATATTTGATGTGGGTCCCTTAGTTTTAGTTTGTAACTCGGATTTGTTTAATTTTTCGCATTCGATTTATGAATTTCGAATAGCGGTATACCTTAAACGTATTAAACATTTTTTAGAATGTTAGGTCCTCAGTGTCTTAAACTTTCTACTTTATATTTGACCTTTCAATGATGTTGATTTGAGTGTTTCTGATGAGTCTTATTACGTCAGTCGTAATATAAATCTAATCCTGGTACATGTATTGACAGTACCGAACTCCGATGCATACTCAAAAAGAGAAAAGCTCGACTATCTCAACCAAAGGAAGCACTAATTAATAACTGTCATTAATCATGTCAACAACCATTCCCTCATCGATGATGTCTTTTGAACTTAAATAATTGTTAGCAATCTCTATAATTAAGTTGTGTCATAGATTGTTTTTCCAACTAAATTGCATTATTTCTGATTATCAATTTGATTGTAGATTAAAAAACATTTAAACACAGTCAAGGTGATAATTCTTTAATATTTACTCATAATATTGGAAAGGTCACCACTCTTTAACTGCACAATAACAATATTTCAAAAATGAAAATAAACTCGAAAGCAAGGCAGAACAATACAAATATAACAATTCACTTCAAGAAATAGTATGCAGTTGAAACAATATTTTAGTTATTTTTGATATAAAGTAAGCGAGAAATACATTTCGGACAATATGTTTGACATAATAAAATGTAAGATTGCTGAAGTTCAACACGATTTTCAAACAAACAACAATATGGAAAAAATTGAATCATGCACACTTTAAAATGAATAATGTTTTATTGTTATCTCCTGATCAACAGTTTTATTGTAGATTAAACAACATTAAAACACAGAAACAGTGAGAATTCCTTAATATTTAATCATAATATTTGAAAAGTCACCACTCTCTAACTGCACAATAACAATTTTTCAAAATTGACAATAAACTCGTAAGCAAGGCAGAACAATACAAATATTACAATCCAAATAGAACGTTATTGTTATCAACCAAATAATAAAAGAAAGGAATTTATAAGTAGACGATCTGTAATTCACTTTAGGGTTTGCTTGTGAAGATTGTCTATTTTAGTGCAAACTCTCACAAATGTATGGGTTGCCTCAATCCATAGACCTCTCTGAATCCCTTCCTTATAAACCTTAAGTTTAAAATCTTGGGCCCTTGAAAAGTCAGGTAGATCGATTCTACTTTCTAGAAACTCTAGGCCCGCTGGATTGCTCTTTTTCCAGGACCATCTTAACAATAACTTTTTTTTTGTTTTTTTTCACTCCCTCATCAACTGCTCTCTTTTGTGATGTATCTTCAGCATGTTCAGTGATCAGGTTTGTTGACATCGAAACAGGAGTGGACATGATAGTCATCGGTTCGTCCACTTACTCATCAATATCGAATGAGTTGGTTGGCATGAAAGCTAATGTACCGCTGGTGATAATGTCTTCAATTATTTTTGGTATCTCAGCAGTAATATCGTTGAATTTACGATCTATATCTGTCACTTTTTTTTCCAATTCCTGTATCTTTCTTTTGCTGCCCTTGCTTTCTGTTTCGATTTGTGAAATGGTTGTTTCCATCGAGTTGACAGTTGCTGTTAAATCATTAAATCCAGTATCACAACCCTGTGCATTCCTGTTAACCTCCTTCTTTACTTCATCGAGGTGGGCTCTTAGTTCCCCAATTGCATTATTACTATACTGTTTTCTGAATTCTGTTAACTCCTTGTGTATGTTGTTTTCTGATTTTTGTATCTCATACTTAACTAGGCAATCAATAGCCTCAAGGGTTACACCTAGAAATAAATAGACGCAAAGTGTGTTACAATAGGCCAGAAGAGCTTCCTTGATCTTATATGATAACTAGAACTGTAAGCAAAAATTACTAGATATAACCCCGCTGTTCTTACAAGTACCTACTTAACAAGTAGTTGTTCTCAATGGACGATGACATTATATTATGCTAAATGGCCAAATTTCAACGGCCTGGAGTAACATTGTTCATGAACATCTATATCTGATGATATAATATTATATATCAACTTCCACATGTATATAACAAACAAAGACTAAGGAGTTACAATGATGAAGTACATACTCGATAGGGTAAAACAATTTAAGTACAGAGGTCCATACCCCATGGAAAACTCAATTGACAAGAACGTCCTACCTTCATGCACACCTGAATATGTGAATCTAGCAATATACATACTTACATGTATATTTAACAAACCATGTCAGATACGTTGCTATGACAAGCATAGGGTCAACATTTCGATATCCAAAGGGCTATAACTCATGTAATAATATACCAGATCATCCTAAATATAGCGATTTTAACACATAACGGTTAGTGGGACAAGGGACAGACAGACGGACATACAATGTAAAACGTATAGAACTACATGTACATTAGAACGTGCGAATATAACAATGTACAAACTTTTATGTGTATCCAATAAGACTAGTCAGAGGAGTAGCGATGGCATATTTCATCATGGATAGTGTCAAAATTGCAATGTTTAAAAAGGCCATTACTCATGGAAACTCAATGAACCGGAACATTCCATCAACATGTACATATGAATATATGTATCTAACAATATACCCACATGCATGTGTATCCAACAAACCGTGTCAGATGAGTTGCGATGACAAGCTGTCTACTTCAAAAGGGTCCACATTTCTTAGTCCGAAGGGCCATAACTGAAGAAGAACTCAATATACCGGAACATCCTACCTATAGTGATTTCAACACATCATGGTCAGTTATAAATATTTTCGAAGTCTGGACATAAGACATTGGAATTGGTCCGGATAATGTGACAGACAGGCGGACAGACAATGTAAAACCTATACAACCCTGTAACCTTGTTTTAGTGTGGGAATAACTAAGATCATGTGAGTCTGTATGACTTACCTGAAATAATCTATTCTTTTGGAGATTGTATTGATGCTCAATATTTTTTTTATGCGTGGACGGGTCGGAACCATTTTGATTTAAAATAAGTGGTTCTGCTAGTTTTTGGGTGTTTTTTTTTAAAGTAACAGCACCCACCATCGATCAAGGAGAATTTTGCAAGACATCTTTTTGAAAGGGAACATATGTAGACCATTCACTCAAAGTTTAGATTGAACCGGGTGATACCAAATTGCTCAAGATAAACATATCTTCAAATATAGTGATTTACTATATGCTACTATTTGAATGCTTCTACACTAGTCATATTTTTGGTGGGGTCAGGAGGGGATTTCTATATGCTAATGTTTGAATGGTTTTACACTTGTCATCTTTTTTGGTGGGATCAGTAGGGGATTTTTATATGCTAATGTTTGAATGGTTTTACACTAGTCATCTTTTTGGTGGGGTCAGGAGGGGATTTCTATATGCTAAGGTTTGAATAGTTTTACACTAGTCATCTTTTTTGGTGGAGTCAGGAGGGAGATTTCTATATGCTAATGTTTGAATGGTTTTACACTAGTCATCTTTTTTGGTAGAGTCAGCTTGCTCTACGGTGTGAGTCAAGGCTCCGTGTTGAAGACCGTGAGTTAAACTGTAATGGTTTACTTTTACAAATTGTGACTTGGATGGAGATTTGTCTCATTGGCACTCATACGATATCTGCTTATATCTATGATATTCTAGTTTTTGCCCCGCTCGTGTAAATGCACTCGACTCCTATCTTAAATAACAAGGATTGCTAGTTTACCTAACGAAGTTAGATGGTTTTTTCCCCGAGCACTCCGGCTTTCTCCGCTAATAAAAACTGGCAGCCAGGAAACAGCCAAAATGCGATGCTTAAAAGTGGCTTTAAAACACCACAAATCAAATCAAAACATTATGATCAGCTGTAATGCACCTAGTAACAAACGTTAATGTGTACTAATTACTTCCGTTAATTGAAACAATTTCGAGATTGCAAGTGTTCTTTTTTTCTGTAGGACATACACTGTATTAGAAAAAAATCCACTTCTTCTTTTTAAGACAACTGCACACGATAAAATAATTTCAAAGGTCAAGGCAAAGAACATAATTTGATGACCAAGGTCAAGGTCATAAAGTTGTAATAAGAGAAAGAGATAAAAATGGTTTGAGGCTTACCTTCCTCTAGATCTTCAGGGTCACTCTCTGCTACGTGCTAAAATATAAATTTCACTGTATAGTTTGAAAATAAAATCATTCTAACTAATTCAATTTCAATAAAACTGAACAATATACACATAGTAGACATGTTAAGACATGATTCACACAAATAAGTGGTTTCATCTTTGAATGGCAATTGTAAAATATACAGATACAACAAGTGACGATATTTGACAATTTCAAACATCAAAAACATGACCAAACACAAACAAGTTGGAGCAAACACAAACACGAATATGGGCATAACAACAACACCTTAACTAATCTCTGTAAAGCACAAACTCATCAATCGCATTGTAATATATATATATATACAAGTCTAAATTAAAAACTACGTTCAAACCTATGAAAAACCGCCGATTTTATACGTGAGCATATAAAACAAATTTCGTTGTAGGAGGGTCTAAATACAGCACAAACTACCTAAAATTTACATTAATGAATGTTTCGGTGGCCGGGTGTTACCTTTCCTCGTATTTTTTTTATCTAGCTTCGTAACACAGTACACGATATATAAGGCATAAGGATGTAATTTTTACAGATCAGCTTAATCATCTGTCTTACAGGAATTTACTAACTAATGTTTGATGCAGTCATAAAAATAGTTCTATTATAAGAACGTTTGAACCAGAAACAACTTGTGCAAACATATAATATATATACAGTTGAGTTCTAGCCGAAACTCTCACGGTTCTATCTGGTTACTTTTAGTGTGTTTGAAGAAGTGGTACCATTAATGCATTCCGTATTTGTTATATTTCTTATCAGTTTTGTAAAACTAAAAAGGCAGTATAGTATTACTGACATACCTCAGTTTCTCTGCTTCTGTCATTTGTGATATCCATATTCTGGAAAAAAAAATGATAGAATTCATATCATCGACGAAAAGCTACTGTTTTTTTCAAAGTAGATATCAAATTAGATTGTTTGCGGTATAAAGCAAAATTTAGAATAAATAAAGTAAGGAACAAAAGTTGCATATTTTTTTCAACATTTAATTCCAAATTATCTTACTTATCACTCCCCCCCTCTCCAGTTTTAGTTGGTTACGTGTTTCTTATTTTTTAATTATTCATGCTGTGTCGTGTGTATTATTATTATTATTTGTCTGTTTGTTGTTTTTTTTTTTCGTTTTTTGCCATGGTGTTGCCAGTTTATTTTCGGTCTATGAGTTTGAATTTCTCTTTGGCATAGTTCGGCCCTCTTCAATTGGTCTGTCGATACAGAGCACAAACAGAAAAATTCCCTTTCTGTTTAATTATAGATATGAATTGTATCAAGTAGCTTAATTTCTTTTTTTATTCTAAGACAATTCATAGGGTTCAGCCTATTGAAAGCATAAAACATACAATATAAAAAAGTAGATGTGGTATTAATACCAATGAAACAACTCTCCACAAGAGACCAAAATAACACCGAAATTAACAGTCCCAGGTAACTGCAGGGCCTTCAACAATGAGTAAAGCCCATACCGCATAGTCAGCTATAAAAGGCCCCGTAATGACAATGTAAAACAATTCAATCGAGAAAACTAACGGCCTTATTTATATAAAAAAAATGAACGAAAAACAAATATGTAACACATAAACGACAACCACTGAATTACAGGCTCCTGACTTAGGACAGGCACATACATACAAGTTTGTTTTCGCAATGAAAAGAAAGATAGACAAAGGCAGACCAATAATCAACTAGTATCATCTGTTTGATATTTTTTTATTGTAGACTTACCACTGGTCTGTCTTCTTCTATATTTCCTTCCTATATAAACCAAAGAGAACGAGTAAATCAAAAGACGAATGAAAATTGTCACTTAATGTCACAAGTAATTATTTAGTTAATGATGTAATACAGATCATCAATAAACAGACCTATTTCCAACTAGTATCATCAGTTTGATACCTTTTAATTTCAGACTCTAAGTTTACATGTGCATGCCATATTAGGCTAAATGTTACTATGCTATCGTAAACAACGTTACTTAGCCTCGTGGACAAAGGCATCTATCAAATAGTTCCGATCTACGACGCTTTAAAGGTTTTTGATTTGTTTATGTATCCATATAGAATAAAACATCAGGTCTCCATGCTGTCGTTGACACTTGAATCGAAGTGTGGTTACACCGTGAGGTTGCCACATGAACCAAGGCAGACCGACGACCAAACAGTCCCCGTCTGCGACCCGAAATTTGATGCTACATGATATTCTGTTTTCTTTTTATATTCATATTATAATAAGAATCTGTTTTCTATGTAGTAGTTGATATATTAATAAAGTGATATGGGGTAAAAACCAAAGAGACAACCACAAACTCCTCGTGAAAATACTTGAATGGTGAGCACCAACACAGAAACTGGAGATATAGGCTAAATGATTGCTCGTCAAATAGGTCTTTTTATTTTTTTACTTTACAATTGTTTTTGCACGAAAACGTCACAAAAAAAACCCTGTCTTACATCTTTCAATAAAGTTATGGAAATGAAAATGAATTGTTCTAATTAACCATTGTACTCAAATAGCAAAAACGTTACTTACCACTAAATTTGGAAAATACGTCTTAACCCTCTAAATTCTAAAACCGAAATGAAATGTATATTATTCAGCATATGGGAAATGCTACTCTTTTATTGTCGTTGATATGATTTTTTTGCAATTTTTTTTGATAGTTTGACTATTGTCTTTTCAGAAGTAAATAACTTTTTCTTTGCAATTTAGCAACAACACAAACACTGGGAAATAAAAGTTAAATTATCGTCTTTAAAATTTGTTAATTTTATTCTTCACTTTTAACAATCATTTTTGCAATAAACGTAGATATATACATGCTTTACAATTTTGTTAGTAAATTTACTCAAATGAGAATGAACAAATCTTGTTTAACTGTTGTATAAAGTTTTTTACATATTTTTTACTAATAATTAAATGTGACTTACCACTGGACTCTCTTCTTCTGTGTTTCCCTCCTGTAAAAATCCAAGTGAGACGAATAAAGGTAATTTTTTAGTCAATGTTGTAATAAAGATCACCAATACCTTTCGAAAAAGAAGTAAACAGAAAATACGATCAAATACTTTGAATGTCTACACTGGAATGACAATTTAAGCATTGAGCCTATGGGAGGTACTTCTATATTATCGTCGTTGATATGATTTTTTGCATTTTTCTATCGGCTGACCCTTTATCTTTTGAGAAGTATATAACTTTTTTTCTTTGCAAATAAGTAACAACACAGATACTGGGGAAATATAAGTTCAATGGTTGCTCTTCATAATTGGTTAAATTTATTCTTCACTTTTAACAATCATATTTTGCAAAAAACGTAAATAAAAATATGCTTTATACTTTTTTAGTAAATTTGCTGAAATGAGAATGACATTGTTTTTTAACTGACGTATAATGTTATTAACACATTTGTTTCCAATAATTAAATGTGACTTACCACTGGTCTCTCTTCTTCTATGTTTCCTTCCTGTATAAATCCAAGAGAACGATTTAATCAAAAGACGAATAAAAATTGTCACTAAATGTCACAAGTAATTATTTTGTCGATGATGTAATAAAGATCATCAATTACTTTTGAAAAAGAAGTACACAGACCTATTACCAACTAGTATCATCAGTTTGATACCTTTTAATTTCAGACTCTAAGTTTACATGTGCATGCCATATTAGGCTAAATGTTACTATGCTATCGTAAACAACGTTACTTAGCCTCGTGGACAAAGGCATCTATCAAATAGTTCCGATCTACGACGCTTTAAAAGTTTTTGATTTGTTTATGTATCCATATAGAATAAAACATCAGGTCTCCATGCTGTCGTTGACACTTGAATCGAAGTGTGGTTACACCGTGAGGTTGCCACATGAACCAAGGCAGACCGACGACCAAACAGTCCCCGTCTGCGACCCGAAATTTGATGCTACATGATATTCTGTTTTCTTTTTATATTCTTATAATAATAAGAATCTGTTTTCTATGTAGTAGTTGATATATTAATAAAGTGATATGGGGTAAAAACCAATAGACAATCACAAACTCCTCGTGAAAATACTTGAATGGTGAGCACCAACACAGAAACTGGAGATATAGGCTAAATGATTGCTCGTCAAATAGGTCTTTTTATTTTTTTACTTTACAATTGTTTTTGCACGAAAACGTCACAAAAAAAAACCCTGTCTTACATCTTTCAATAAAGTTATGGAAATGAAAATGAATTGTTCTTATTAACCATTGTACTCAAATAGCAAAAACGTTACTTACCACTAAATTTGGAAAATACGTCTTAACCCTCTAAATTCTAAAACCGCAATGAAATGTATATTATTCAGCATATGGGAAATGCTACTCTTTTATTGTCGTTGATATGATTTTTTTGCAATTTTTTTTTGATAGTTTGACTATTGTCTTTTCAGAAGTATATAACTTTTTCTTCGCAATTTAGCAACAACACAAACACTGGGAAATAAAAGTTAAATTATCGTCTTTAAAATTTGTTAACTTTATTCTTCACTTTTAACAATCATTTTTGCCATAAACGTAGATATATACATGCTTTACAATTTTGTTAGTAAATTTACTCAAATGAGAATGAACAAATCTTGTTTAACTGTTGTATAAAGTTTTTTACATATTTTTTACTAATAATTAAATGTGACTTACCACTGGACTCTCTTCTTCTGTGTTTCCTTCCTGTAAAAATCCAAGTGAGACGAATCAAGGTAATTTTTTAGTCAATGTTGTAATAAAGATCACCAATACCTTTCGAAAAAAAAGTAAACAGAAAATACGTCCAAATACTTTGAATGTCTACACTGGAATGACAATTTAAGCATTGAGCCTATGGAAGGTACTACTATATTATCGTCGTTGATATGATTTATTGCATTTTTCTATCGGCTGACCCTTTATCTTTTGAGAAGTATATAACTTTTTTTCTTTGCAAATAAGCAACAACACAGATACTGGGGAAATATAAGTTCAATGGTTGCTCTTCATAATTGGTTAAATTTATTCTTTACTAATATGCTTTACAATTGTTTAGTAAATTTACTGAAATGAGAATGACATTGTTTTTTTAACTGACGTATAATGTTGTTAACACATTTGTTTCCAATAATTAAATGTGACTTACCACTGGTCTCTCTTCTTCTATTTTTCCTTCCTGTATAAATCCAAGAGAACGATTTAATCAAAAGACGAATACAAATTGTCACTAAATGTCACAAGTAATTATTTTTTCAATGTTTTCATGAATACCTTTTGAAAAAGAAGCACACCGAAAATTCGTCCAAACACTTGTAATTCCTACAATGGAATGAAAATTTCAACATTGAGCCTATGGGAGGTACTACTATATTATCGTTGTTGATATGATTTTTTGCAATTTTAAATCGGCAAATCTTTTCAGAAGTTTATACCTTTCTTTGTCTTTGCAATTTATCAACAACACAGAAATTATGGATAATAGTAAAATGATTGCTTTTCAAAATTCAATCATGTTTGCACAAAAATCCTTTCTAATTCGTAGGTAAAGGACAAGGTCAATAAAGACGAACTTGTTTGGCCCCAAAATACAGCAGTTTTACAAAATACTTTTAGCTATGTATTGGAAAGAAGAATACCTTTGTTTTATAAGTGTTGTCTGTTTTGGACAAAGCAAACACACATGTATCGGGTACAAGCATGATAGAGTCCTATATAAAGTCATATATACTGCATCTGTGCTAATTGCATTGACCGCATATTCAAATGTGCCTCGCTCTCTACCTGTTTCTAAAACTTGCACAAATAACATTGATATTTTGAGACAATGCATGGTTATTCTATATATACAATTACTGAAATCTTCAAAAGTTTAGCATCTTTGTTAATTTCTTAACGGTTTCAGTCTAAAATATGAGTTGTTGCATTAGTGCTCATTCTTAATAATTTAATGTAATTTGTATTTGATGATGATACATAACATATATATATATAGGTGAAGAAGGAAAACGGATGCGGCTACTGTCATTTTTGACAAAACACATCTGAAAAGTGACATATTATGGCATATTTGATACTTTTTCTTTATTTTATCTTATTTGAGCGTCTTGAATGACAAAATCAGTTCTAATCTTCCACAAAAACTAATATAATCGACTAACGTAGGTACTTAAGTGTTTTAAATGTGTCCAACCTCTTTCATCCGATGTAGCTGAACTTCGTGGCCAAAATCGTACCTTACCTGATATACTCCTTTAATGAAATGAAAAAATGTTTGAAATGTTCGTATTATGTCTTATAGTTAAATGTTACTTACCACTTGTCTTCCTTCTTTTTTATTTCCTTCCTGTATATATCAAACAGAAAAACTAAATCAAAAGACGATACAAATTGTCACTTGAGGCTGTATGGGAGTCTAAAGCAAGAACGATAGAATTTGTTCATACTTTGCCTGGCGTAGTATATATTGATATATTTTCAAAAATATAATAAAAAAGATGGGTCACCGTGTATTCTCTCAATCAACAGGAAGTGACAAAATGACACATTTTGTACGGATTATACAGGAAAAAACATCATTATGTGATTAGAAGTTAAACTAAATAATAGAATTGTAAAAAAATACGAAAAGATAGAAAATGCGTTTAGAATATCAAAAGAAAAAGATAGGACCACCGTGCGTTTTTTCCGGCTAAAATGTAAAATAGCAAAATTAAGTGTAGATTCCTTCACAAAATGCACTATTTCAGAGTTTATACATCCCCTTAACATGCCAAAATAAAAACATTAGAAATGAAGCAAAAAATATTAAAATTTATAAGTTATAATCTTATCAATTTGTTCTTTTAGGTGCAAATCAATATTAGTTCCATCATCAAATTTTGCTAACTTGATTCAAATCTGGACCTTAGATTCTCTGTTGTTTACAATCCGAAATGGCAAAGACACCCAAACCATTTCAATGTCACAGATAATTATTTAATCAATGTATTACACAAATCACTTATACCTTATGAAAAAGAAAAAAAAAAAAATCAGGATAAACTATTAAAAATTCGAATAGACGTAACATTTGAATTAAATTATCAATAAAGGTATGCTACCACGCAAGGCCTTCATTCACTATCGACTGCATGTAGACAAAAGACGAAAATAAAAGCCAAACATATTCTTGAATATAACTTAAGGTTAAACGAAAAATTAATGTTAACCTTAACCTTAACCGTAATTTTAACTCTAATATAAACCGTAACTTTAAATAATAGCCAACATATCCTTCAATGAAATTTAAGGTTAAACAAAACATTTGATTCAAAATTGACCTTTACTTTAAACCTAACATCTACCTCCAATATGTACCTATCTCGATAACGGTCAGTCATTACTTCATCTTAGACAACCTTGAGTATTCCCAACGGCTACCACTTTTATGATATAGCCAACGTATTTTTGAACGTAAAATTAACCTTAACCTTAACCTTGACCTTAACCTTAACCGTTACCTAAAGAAATAGCCAACATATGCTTGAATAAAGCTTAAGGTTACACGAAGAAATAACATTACCCTTAAACTTGTCCTTAACCTTAACCCTTACCATAACCTTTACCTTAAATAATAGCCAACATATGTTTAAATACACATTAAAGTGACACGAAAAAATAACCTTAACCTTAACCTTAACCTTCAGTAATAGCCAACATACGCTGCAATAAAGCTTAAGGTTAAACGAAAAATAAACCTTAACCTTAAACTTAACCCTAAAATTGACCGTTACATAAAATAATAGCCAATATATCCATCAATAGAATATAAGGTTAAACTAAAAATTAGACTTAACCTTAACCTCAACTATAAACCTAATATTTAACTCCTACATGTACCTATCTCGATAACGATCAGTCATACCTTCATCTTAGACAACCTTGATTATTCCCCACGGCTACCACTGTTATGATATAGCTAACGTATTTTTGACTGAAAAATTAACCATAACCTTAACCTTGACCTTTACCTTAACCGTTACCTAAAGAAATAGCCAGCATTTGCTTGAATAAAGCTTCAGGTTACACGAAGAAATAATCTTAACCTTAAATTTGTCCTTAACCTTTACCCTAACATTAACCCTAACCTTAAATAATAGCCAACATATGCTTAAATACACATTAAAGTGACACGAAAAAATAACCTTAACCTTAACCTTATCCTTCAATAATAGCCAACATACGCTGAAATAAAGCTTAAGGTTAAACGGAAAATAAAACTTAGTTTTAACCTTAACCCGTAAATTGACCGTTACTTAAAATAATAGCCAATATATCCTTCAATGGAATATAAGGTTAAACTAAAAATTAGACTTAACCTTAACATCAACTATAAACCTAATATTTAACTCCTACATGTACATATCTCGATAACGATCAGTCATACCTTCATCTTAGACAACCTTGAGTATTCCCCACTGTTATGATATAGTCAACGTATCTTTAAATTATGCTTAAGGATAAACGAAAAATTAACTTTAACCTTAATCTTTACCTTAACCTTAACCTTAAGATCAACCTTAACTGTAACCTTAACCTAACAAAATAGCCAACATATGCTTGAATAAAGCTTAAGGTTACCAGAAAAGATAACCTTAACCTTAACCTCAACTGTAAATGATAGCCATCATATGCTTAAATAAAACTTAAGGTTAAACGAAAAATAAACCTTAACCTAAACCTTAACTTAACTTTAACAGTACCCTTAACCCAAACATTAACCGTAATTTTAAGAAATAGCCAACATATCCTAAAATACAAAATATGGTTAAATTTTAGACTTAAAATTGACCTCAACTTTAAGCCTAACATCTAACTTCTACATGTACCTATCTCAATAACGATCAGTCATACCGTCACTTTAGACAACCTTGAGCATTCCCCACGGTTACCACTATTATGATAGAGTCAACGTATCTTAAAATAATGCTTAAGGTGAAACGAAAAATTAACATTAACCTAAACCCTAACCGTAACTTAATATAATAGCCAACATATGCCTAAATAAATCTTAAGGTTACACTAAAAAAATAATCTAAACCTTAACCTTAACCCTAACCTTAAATAATAGCCAGCATATGCTTGAATAAAGCTTCAGGTTAAACGCGAATTTAACCTTAACCTTAACCATAACACTAACCTTAACCGTCACTTTAACTTTAAATAAAAGCCAACACATCCTTTAATAAACCTTTAGTTAAACTAAAAATTTGAATAAAAATTGACGTTAACTATCAACTCCTCAATGTACCTATCTAGATAATGATCAGACATACCGTCACCTTAGACAACCTTGAGTATTCCCTCACGGCTAGAACTGTTATGATATAGCCAACGTATATTTAAATAATGCTTATGGTTAAACAAAAAATGAACCTAAACCTTAACCTTAACCTTAACCTTAAGAAAAAGAAAACATATGCTTAAATAAACATTAAGGTTACACTAAAAATAATCTTAACCTTAACCTTGACCTTAAATAATAGCAAACATATGCTTCAATAAAGCTTCAGGTTAAACGTAAAATTAATCTTAACTTTAACCTTAACCTTCACTTTAACCTTAAACCAAACCTTAACCCTAACCTTACATGATAGCCGACATATCCCTCAATAGAACACAAGGTTAAACTAAAATTTAGAGTTAAAATTGACCTCAACTATTAACCTAACATCTAACTCCTACATTGAACTTTCTCGATAACGATCCGACATACGGTCGACCTACCATCAATCTTATTCAAAAAACGTCATCAATCTTATTCAAAAAACCTTTCTTCTCTAAATAAACATGTCAAAAGTCATGTTCTGTATACCTTAACCCACGCAAGGCCTACATTCACTATCGACTGCATGTAGACAAAAGATGATTTGAACTATATGTAAACACAGATTATCAATGTGAATGTAAGTGTGTTTAGTTTACGTGTGAAATACACTTATAAAAGAACAGAGTTTAGGTCAATGTGAGCACATCCTTAGGTTTTAGTTTTCTATGTTGTTTCTTGTGTACTATTATTTGTCTGTTTGACCTTTTCCTTTATAGTCATGGCATTGTCAGTTGTTGTTTTCTTCGATCTGTTAATCTGACTGTCTCTCTGGTATATTTCGCCTCTCTTTTAATGTTAATTGTCATTCTTTTTTTAATAATGAAATGTTACTTACCACTGGTCTTTCTTCCCCTGTATTTCCTTCCTGTATAAATCCAAGAGAAAAATTTATTCAAAAGAGGGGATAAATGTCACTAAATGTCACAGGGTAGCATTAATTCAATATCAACATGATACTAACTGATACTTTTCGATTAAGAAGTAACGGAAATACGTCCAAACACTCTGAGTTCTCAGACTGGAATGAAAAGGTTAACCTTGAGTTTATAGGATGTACTACAAGGGTATCGTCGTTGATATGAAGTTTTTTTCAAGTTTATATTGGCTGACCCTTATGTCTTCATAAGCATATTTATTTTTTCTTTGCAATTTACAAATTACAAAGAAACTGGGAATCAAGCTAAATGGTTGCTCTTTAGATGGGTGTAATTTATTCTTTACTTTTTACAATAATTTTTGCGCGAAAAAAAAATTGTCTTTCTTTTTTTTCAGCTAGATTAATGGAAATGACGTTTAATGTTAATATTATTTTTATCTAAAAAAAAAAGTCAAAGTTACTCACCACTTGTCTTTCTTCTTCGGTATGTCCCTTCTGTATAAAAGAGAAATATTAAATCAAAATAGGAATGCAAATTATCCATAGATGTCGCAAGTTAGTACTTAGCATTATGAATTCTCAAACTGGAATGACATTTTTAACATTGAGCCTAAAATAGGAACTACTATATTATCGTAGTTGGTATGTTTTTTTGCAATTTTTATCGGCTGACCTTTATTTCTTTTCAGAAGTATACGATTCTGGTTTTTTTTATTCTAAATATAGCAACAATACAGAAACTGGGGATATAAGTTAAATGATTGCTCTTCAACATTGATTTGATTTATTCTTTACTTTTAACAATATGTTTTACCCAAAACTTAAATAAAAACATGCTTTACCAATTGAGGCAAATCTACAGAAATTAAAATAAGTTTTTATTTTAACTGACGTTTACTATTATTTCCTGTTTCTTTTGATAATAGCAAGTTACTAACAGCAACGACAAAAGACTGGCGATGTAGACTAAATGGTGGCTCTTCAATTAAGGTTTAATTTATTCTTTACTTTTAACAATCATGTTTGCACAAAAACGCCAGAAAAGGACAAGTCTTACAATTTTAAGCAAATTTCGGCAATTGACAATGTAAGGGTCTTTTAGAACTGGTGTTTAATGTTGATACCCGTAATTTTTTTATATATATTAAGACGTTATTTACCACTGGTCTTTCTTCTTCTGTATTCCCTTTCTGTATAAATCCAAGAGGAATATATAATCAAAATACGAATAAAAATGTTTACTTAATATGAGGAGTTATAACATTAAAATCACTACTGTCTTCCGAAAAAGAAGGAACAGAAATGCGTCCAAACAATCTGAATTCTCAATCTATAATGAAAAGTTTAACATTTAGCCTACGAGAGGAGCTACAGTTTCGTCATGGTTGGTGTAAGTTTTTTTTTCAATTTTTGATAGGCTGACCTTTTAAGTCTTTACAAATGTTTTACTTTTTTTCTTTGCAATTTGGCAACAACTAAAACAAAGCTGGAGATATAAGCTTAACAATTATTTTTGCACGAAAACACAGAAAAAGACATGGCTTACAACTTTTTGCAAGCTGACGGTTTAGAAAAAAAATTTTTTTGAACTGACGTTTATTTATATTTACATATTGTTTTAGTAATAGCATAACATTACTTACCACAGGTCTTATTTCATTTGTTTTTCCTTCCTGTATAAAACCAAGAGGAATATGTATTCAAAAGACGCACCAAATAATTTCACACAAGTTATTATCAAGTCAATGTTTTCATGAAGATCAGTAATACCTTTCGAACGAGAAGTAACAGAAAATACGTCCAAGCACTCTGAATTTCAAAACTAGAATGAACTGCATAACATTGAGCCTATGGGAGGTACTACTAATTTATCGTCGTTGATATGACATGCTAGCCAGTTTTTTATCGGCCTACCTGTTATATCTTCAGAAGTATCTAATGGGAATTTCAGCTAACACATCATTGACATTAAAAGCCATTTATTTAAAGATTTATGGTTATAAACAGTTATTAATTGTGGAGATTGATAAATTCAAACACAATTTATAATTTTTGGAGGTTGTAAAACTTGAACAAAGTAGGAAGTTTCTTCTGATTACATCAGTGTCGATAAAAGTTTAATCCTATAAAGTTTAAGAACTGATGGTCATTTGATTTACAACCAATCAGTTTTAAACTTAATTAAATTAGGTTATATATTTCAATCCCGGACAGTTCTAAAACGGTGTTTCTTTCGCGATTTTATTTTATTATTTTCCGAAAATACTATGGAAAATGAATGAAATAAGCCGTTCCTGAAAATTTTGGTGTAACATTTTTCAATTATTAAAGTTTTGTATCCTTATAATCTTAAAACTCATTTCAAAAAAATTATCTTAATTGACACCATTAAAATAACAAATTACAAGTATAATTGCTGCATTTACTTCAATAAAATAAGATATATTTGTAATTTTAAACAATGCGAACAACATTTTTTATATTTTTTTCTGATATTCTTTAACCGTATTTAAAAATAAATAATCATTAACTTCATTAAGTACAACAATACAATGGTGATCAATGATTTTGATTAAAATAAAGAAATAATTGCATTCTTAATTAACAAAAACAAAAGTTTATGCATATGTATCCTTCAATTGTTTTCATTTTATTCAAAATTAATTATCAAAAGACATTTATAAAGAATGATTGCAATTGAGCATATTTTATGAAAAAAAAAAACAATCCTGAAGTACAAATAAAAACTGAAATCTTATGTTGGCTTCTGATTTGTATTAACAATAACTGCATTCTTGCAAATAAAGCAATAACTGAATTCTTTTTCAACAAAAACCAAACCTTAAGTATTTTAATTCTGATTATATCTAAATTCTTTAAGCGACTTATATAAAGGCTTTTGAAATAACTAATTCCAAATAATAAAGCATATTTTTTTTTTCAAAATTTACACAATGCAAACAACATTTTAGTATATTTTCTCTGATATTCTTTTAATTTTATGAAAAAATAACCAATCCTAAACAAAATAAAGTGCAAAAATCCAATAGTGGTCAATAGTTTTTCATGAAAATAAAGAAGTAATTGCATTCTTGTTCAACAAAAACAAAAGTTTAAGCATAACTATCCTTCCAAAATTAACATTTTATACAAAAAATAATAAAAAGTATATTAAAGGCTGATTGCAATTAAAATTGCATTATTTTTAAAATTAGAAGAAATATTTGCATTTTAGGCAACGCATAAAAAAATTTAGTATCTTTTCCTTTAAATTCAGCCTATTTAATGAAAAACAACCAATCCTGATGTGCAAAAAGTAATTAAATCTTATGGCAGTTTATAATGTGTATTAAAATAAAGCAATAACTGCATTGTTTTTCAGCAAAAACCAAACTTTGAGTATTTTAATTCTGATGAGATCTAAATTCTTAAAGAAGACTTATATGAAGGCTTTTAGAATAACTAATTCCAAATAAAATAGCATCATTTTTTATCAAAAGAAGAATAATTTTAGTAAATTTGAACAATGCAAACAACATTTAAGTATATTTTCTCTGATATTCTTTTAATTTTATGAAAAATCAACCAATCCTTAACAATATAAAGTACAAAAATCCAATGGTGGTCAATAGTTTCCATTAAAATGAAAAAATGATTGCATTCTTGTTCAACAAAAACAAAAATTTAAGCATATCTATCCTTCAAAAATTCACATTTTATTCAAAATAACTTATCAAAAGGCTTATTTAAAGGCTGATTGCAATTAAAGTTGCATTATTTGAAAAATGAGAAGAAATATTTGCATTTTAGGCAACACGTACAAAAATTTAGTGTCTTTTCCCTTAAATTCAGCCTATTTAATGAAAAACAACCAATCCTGATGTTCAAAAAGTACTGAAATCTTATGGCAGTTTATAATGTGTATTAAAATAAAGCAATAACTGCATTCTTTTTCAACAAAAACCAAACTTTGAGTATTTTAATTCTGATGAGATCTAAGTTCTTACATAAGACTTATATGAAGGCTTTTGAAATAACTAATTCCAAATAAAATAGCATCATTTTTTTATCAAAAGAAGAATAGTTTTGGTAAATTTGAACAATGCATGCAATATTTTAGTATATTTTCTCTGATATTCTTTAAATTTTATGAAAAATTAACCAATCCTAAACAATATATAGTACAAAAATCCAATGGTGGTCAATAGTTTCCATGAAAATGAAGAAATGATTGCATTCTTGTTCAACAAAAACAAAAATTTAAGCATATCTATCCTTCAAAAAATAACATTTTATTCAAAAGAACTATAACTTATCAACAGGCATATTTAAAGGCTGATTGCAATTAAAGTTGTATTATTTGAAAAATGAGAAGAAATATTTGCATTTTAGGCAACGCGTACACAAATTTAGTGTCTTTTCCCTTAAATTCAGCCTATTTAATGAAAAACAACCAATCCTGATGTTCAAAAAGTACTGAAATCTTATGGCAGTTTATAATAAGTATTTAAATAAAGCAATAACTGCATTCTTTTTCAACAAAAACCAAACTTTGAGTATTTTAATTCTGATGAGATCTAAGTTCTTAAAGAAGACTTATATGAAGGCTTTTAAAATAACTAATTCCAAATAAAATAGCATCATTTTTTATCAAAAGAAGAATAATTTTGGTAAATTTGAACGATGCAAAAAACATTTAAGTATATTTTCTCTGATATTCTTTTAATTTTATGAAAAATCAACCATACTTAAACAATATAAAGTACAAAAATCCAATGGTGGTCAATAGTTTCCATGAAAATGAAGAAATGATTGCATTCTTGTTCAACAAAAACAAAAGTTTAAGCATAACTATCCTTCAAAAATTAACATTTTATTCAAAATAACTTATCAGAAGGCATATTTAAAGGCTGATTGCAATTAAAGTTGCATTATTCGAAAAATGAGAAGAAATATTTGCATTTTAGGCAACACGTACACAAATTTAGTGTCTTTTCCCTTAAATTCAGCCTATTTAATGAAAAACAACCAATCCTGATGTTCAAAAAGTACTGAAATCTTATGGCAGTTTATAATGTGTATTACAATAAAGCAATAACTGCATTCTTTTTCAACAAAAACCAAACTTTGAGTATTTTAATTCTGATGAGATCTAAATTCTCACATAAGACTTATATGAAGGCTTTTGAAATAACTAATTCCAAATAAAATAGGATAATTTTTTATCAAAAGAAGAATAGTTTTGGTAAATTTGAACAATGCAAGCAATATTTTAGTATATTTTCTCTGATATTCTTTAAATTTTATGAAAAATTAACCAATCCTAAACAATATATAGTACAAAAATCCAATGGTGGTCAATAGTTTCCATGAAAATGAAGAAATGATTGCATTCTTGTTCAACAAAAACAAAAATTTAAGCATATCTATCCTTCAAAAAATAACATTTTATTCAAAAGAACTATAACTTATCAACAGGCATATTTAAAGGCTGATTGCAATTAAAGTTGTATTATTTGAAAAATGAGAAGAAATATTTGCATTTTAGGCAACGCGTACACAAATTTAGTGTCTTTTCCCTTAAATTCAGCCTATTTAATGAAAAACAACCAATCCTGATGTTCAAAAAGTACTGAAATCTTATGGCAGTTTATAATAAGTATTTAAATAAAGCAATAACTGCATTCTTTTTCAACAAAAACCAAACTTTGAGTATTTTAATTCTGATGAGATCTAAGTTCTTAAAGAAGACTTATATGAAGGCATTTAAAATAACTAATTCCAAATAAAATAGCATCATTTTTTATCAAAAGAAGAATAATTTTGGTAAATTTGAACGATGCAAACAACATTTAAGTATATTTTCTCTGTTATTCTTTTAATTTTATGAAAAATCAACCATACTTTAACAATATAAAGTACAAAAATCCAATGGTGGTCAATAGTTTCCATGAAAATGAAGAAATGATTGCATTCTTGTTCAACAAAAACAAAAGTTTAAGCATATCTATCCTTCAAAAACTAACATTTTATTCAAAATAACTTATCAGAAGGCATATTTAAAGGCTGATTGCAATTAAAGTTGCATTTTTTGAAAAATGAGAAGAAATATTTGCATTTTAGGCAACGTGTACACAAATTTAGTGTCTTTTCCCTTAAATTCAGCCTATTTAATGAAAAACAACCA